TATTCGACTGCAGATGTTTACGTAGTTTGGTTCGGGTTGAATGGAGCGAGCTTGTAAACAACTCTGAGGTGAGGCGTCGCGTATTTGGTAATGATTCGATGGAGAATTCTTTGTCCCATCGAATTCAGATTAGTCGACTTCGCTGTTTAGGACGCGTATTGCGCATGTCCAGCCATCGTCTGCCGCACCGCGCCTTATTCGCAGTTGCGGCTCCAGGTTGGAAGAAACCGCGTGGTGGTCAACAAATGACGTGGAAACGAGTCATGAAGAAATGCACAGAGCGATTAGGTAGAATAGGTGCCTGCGGTCTTTCAAGTTGGTGTCCGAAAGACTGCAAATGACTAGTTGGAGACACTAAAGGATATGGCGACCAACCGACAGCAGTGGCGCTTTTGTTGTCATTTCGTACCAGGTCAGAATGATTAAAAAGTATGTATGCATATTTAGATTGCGTACTCTGTGTTGACCTTAGAGGTTCTTTTTCTTTGCCTCCTTCCAATTAGACCCAATCCCTCTCCATCTTGTGCTTTATCACTGGATTTGTGTGCATTGTGAACTTGGCAGCTATCAGTAAAGTTCGCGTGACTGTATCTGGCTGTGCGATAATAATGACGATCTACTATTCGGTAACGGATTTCCGTGATTGCAGTCTCCGCTCTTGCCTTGATGGATCACATAAGATCCAAACAGAATAAGCTTGATATTAGGCACAACTCAATGACGGGGTTCGGATTTCTAACAAGGTTTGTGTTTTGTTGCTGTCATATATGTTTCTAGCCAACTTGATAATAAATGTTCAGATTTGTGGTGGTGATACAGTGGTTTAGTCGCTGACACCGGCGTGTTTTGTATCCTATGGTCCGAGGTTGAAACCCCGCCACAACCACCCAGTTTGGCGGTAAGCAGGTTTACTGTCATCCGGTCCAATACTATACCTAACCCATCAGGGTCTTATGTGGTTCGCCACTCCATGTCCTGGGGCTTAGGTTGCCGGTTTCCATTACTGAACAACTGCTCTTCATGACCATGGGTTCGCCCCGCCTGCAGTTCTTCATACAACAATATGTGATAAAAAAAAATAATCACTGAGATACCTCGAGTATATTGAAACTTCGCCCCGCTTGATGCAGTCGCACACACAAAGCAGACCCAATTGATGCCATCGGTAGTCAACATCTTGGAATGATTCGCGTTTCGCTCCATTGCAATTTTCGACAGACAATTCACAGTACCTCCAATCATTTGGATGGGAATCTGGTTGCATCTGATCGAAAACCGTATTTACCATAACCGGAAGTTTGTAAGAGACAGTGATTTTGGTTATCGTGACATTCATGGATTCCTCATATCACCCCATCCTCTAGATGAACTCGTGTGAAATGTTACAATTTGTGGTAGATTGCTTTGCTTATAGGACATTGTTCCTCTGCGGTAAGTATACTCAAGGGATTTTGCACAATAATTATACCCCTCCCTGACACCTATGTAATCTATCCGCATGACAGTTCGCTGTACAATCTACGACAACTCAACACAGTTTTTCGCCAATGGCAGTATCGTACGAACATAACATACCAGTTAGGTAACCGAATAACCTAATGGTTACATTTGAACTTAACGTGTACGTTAAGCTCCGAAAGAAATGGTCACCCCCAGGTTTTATGTGGCTTTCAGATAGTCACTTATTTGACAAACTAATTCCGTTTTTGATGTTGTCTAATGATTTTCGACACAGAATTATACCATCTGAATGCTTTTGTGATAGCAGATAGCAAACGCAGGAAACTCCCAAGTGTTTCGGAGTACCCGTTTTATATCAGTGTTTGTTTAAACCAGCTAACGTTCTGTCTCTCTAGTCTACCAATGGCTCTGGATTTATTGTATTTCAGTTGTACTATTTATTTATTTTCTTATTCCTATTTGTTCCAGCTTTTCGTTGTTGTTATTGCTCCCATTTCAATCCACCGCGACAAAGTCGTCGTGTGGCTCCAGTTCCATCAAATATTGCTCAGTCTGTGCCACATTTGGTTTTCAATTGTCCTCCGCCATCTGATCGAGACTCGGATGAGGAGTGCTCTGTAAAGCGGCGCGTCTCTGTGCCGGCCTCACTGGCAACCTCGCATTCACCCACCCTGGTGGAAACCAACGGTAAAGACTCCCCCGCTTCTGAGTCCAGGGAAAGCAAGGAGGATATCACGATTAATGGAAACAAAGAATAGTGATCCAAATCCTGGTCCTTCCTGTTTTTTTCACTTGAAACTCTGGGACGATCCATCTTCATGATTTGCTTGTGTTCCATGTATATCTATCTTCTAGTGACGCGACACGTGTGCTTCCACCGATGTCCTATGCACAGACCTGTTTAGATAGTGCAATTTGGTTTGCACTATTTGGTGGTACCTGCAATCCCACTGTCAAATATATGAGCCCCTCATGCATACGATCTGATGCTTATTCCATTTCACTCTTGTAAGATAATCCTCCCCTCTTTCACGTTTGCTCTTAGCACAAAGTTCATAGTAATATGGTGTTCCCTTTCCAGTGCATACTCTCGAAGCACGGTTACCTGCTGTGAGCGAATACGGCCATTGGTTTTTTATCTACTCCCCCGCAAAATTGGCACTTTTCCATTTAAGGCAGCTCGTGGACCCTGTTGTTGTGAAGACAGTCGAATGGGACAGTTGGGCAAGCCTGTGTGAACATTTTGGTAATCGCAACTGGTAGAAAAAAATGAATCAATGGTGGAAGCGTTTAAGTCATCTCGGAAGGTTATTTTCTCGTCTTCAGACTTGAAACAGATCTTCTAAAAGCCATTGAATCTTGTAACCAGCAGTGCCGGGAATTCTGCTTGTTTTGTATGCTGCTGTATCTGTGCACTCCAAATCCATTTTTAACGTTCAGTCTCAGATAGCGAGGCTAATAGTTCCCCTTGATATGATCACTCCAACTTTCACACTAAGACAATCGTATTTTCGAGCGTCGATTAATCGTAATGGGACATTCAATGAGAAAAACATTTTTGAGCCTTAGTAAAGGTTATTTATTAGCACAGTAATGATGTTTCCTTTAGGAAGATTCTGTCCTGAACGCAAGTCCATGTAATTCCGAAAATTGAGGCCAGCACAAAAGCACGCTGAAAATCAGGAAATTCTAGTCACCAAGAAATGCTGCATTCACTTACTGGTTGTTCCAACCATAGCAATAATGCGGTGTGAGAATGAGTTTTTTACTGCTCGTCGGAACTATCGGCCACTAACAGGAGCGTGGCTGCAAGAAAAAGCAGAGTTGGGTTATGCAGTGAATCATTGTGATTTTCTCGCTCGAGCAATGGCTGTTTCGTAATCTTCAACAACGCAATGACAGAACCTCAATTAATGCTTGGTGATACCTCAGAACAAGTAACCAACTGCCTGAACGCGTTCCCACGTTGTGCGAACATTACTGTCTGAAGGATGTTTTCAACTGTGACCGGTTATTTTGTTAGTTTAGAGCCACGCGAAAACTGGTTGCGAAAGGTGATCCCTGAAGCAGCTGTCGAACATCCAAGGAAGGGGTATACCAAGAAGCAGTGCTATTAAGGGCATTACTCTCGGAAAACGCGGTCTACAGTGCTTGAAACCGGTGAACGGACAAGCTTGAATGATCAGAGGTGCATTTCATTCGTGGATTAAAAATGCAGTAGTCCAATACTATATATATTTATATTTTCACACGTCTGAATCCAGACAGTGCCAAACAAATCATGGTACAATAATCTTTATGAAAAAGAAAGACTTTCCGTGATTTGCATGTGGTGGTGATCCGCAAGTCAGCGGATGTGTGTACGAAAACCCCATTGGGGGCCAGTTAATCGGATAATTCACCCTTTGGATGGGATCAAACGCCCAAGGTGCTCAATCGAGCCGGTGGCCACTGTCACAACCGGTAAGGTGTTTGTGGTTCGTACTCCTCTTGGTTGGTTTGGAATCAGGGTTTTTAGCCAACTCTCCTGGGTGAACTACCAGTGGTCCACCAACCCGGTTATAGCCCCGGATACCGGATTTTCGTCCTTTCATTTTGGTAGGAAGACACCTCGGCCACGAGAAGGCAGTGAGTAGCGCTTCCTCAGCAGAGGCTACTTGAGACGCTTGGTCGTTTTGGAGCTCCAATGCTCCTACATCATTGATCGATTCTTCTCTTTTTGTATATCTGTTTGATCAGTTTGTCGTTTGCCAGGGGCCTCGCCCACAATAGCACTATGCTTCTCAGACAAGTAATTAGCCAGCTAAATTCGACTGATCACTTGATCTGGAATTTACATGTGGTTGGGACAAAGCGCACATCTTATCTTCATCGCCAATCGATTTTGTATGGTTCATATTGCTCAAAATTTCGCTGGACGGGGCGATATCATCGACAGACTTTATATAGGCAAATATACTTCTGCTAGATTTTGTTTTCCGCTTGGAGTTAGACCTGAGAACGTGTTCTGTGTTACAATCTATGGTTACTAGGTGTGAAAAATGGCCATATGCCAGAATTCCATCCGTTATATGCGTTTTGAACAGGGAAACATCCGTATCGGCTACTGCAATCCTCAAAACTCAGATAAATAATACGGGGATAGAACTGCCTAGAAGACAGCAGCCATTTCAACCAGATCGCATGAACAGCGCCCCCAATCTAACCACAGGGACGTTCGCACACACACATATGAGCTTTATCTGAATAAAAAACAACCGTGGAACATGATTTATGCCGGATAGCGAATTAAACTTTGAAATCATTTGTCCCTCTTTTAATATCATTTGCTGATTCGGATCTATCGTTTGGCACAGTTTACTCACACCTATTGTTCGCGACCGTAGAAAACGTTTGAGGTGGTCCAGATTCTAACCAGAACGATTGCTTTCAGGTTGTTTTAGTCACTGCTTGCTTTAAAGCATACATCTGGATAGAGATTGTGCAGGTGTCATGCAGTTGCATGAATGCACAGGTAGGACTGAATCGATTTAAACAATGCAGTCGGAATAAATTACAAGTGATTTACCAATCATAGTTTAATACGTAAAATGGACTGACAAGAGTTAGTCATTAAACCATCAGTATGGAACACTGGTTCCCACGAAAGATCAACATGAAAGTGAACTAATACTCCGATGCTGCATTCTGTTCGACGACTAAGTGCTAGTCAACATGGTAAACTAAAATGACCAGGGATCACTAATAGCTTAAAAGCATCACTCAGAAAAATTCTTATCAGTCTACCATTTTCCCACTAAAGGTAACCATAAATAATAATTGAAATTTAAGGATTGTTTGTCTATCTCTGTGGTCTTTAGATGACTTGGAATGAGGTCGCATCGTAAAACGGGAAACCCATGTTTGAAAACACTGTTTTCCCGTCACAAATTTGAACAGAGAAGTCAGAAACATGGGTTTGCACAATGTATCCATGGTCATTTCGCTGCATCTGTACACGTGCATACTGCAGTCCAAGTGATTTTTATAGTCAGATTTGAGGGAAAAAAACAAGAACGCTAATCACAACAGACAACGCAACGCAAAAACAAAAAAGGGGACGAGATAGGGCAGGGGATCAATCACTAAGGCAAAGCTAATGTGACTAACCATTCGCGTTGTTTGCATAGATCAAGTTTGAGAGTGCGAATGGCTAGGGCCTCGGCAAATTTCAGTAATTTTGTGTTTGTTGAGTTGTAGATGACATGGAATGCGTGGGGTGGGGTGACACAGTGTTTTTGTTCGAGTAAATGTTGCGTTATCGAAGATCTAAGCTTTCTCCGATCAATCGATGATGTAACATTTGTAAAATTGNTGTGTTCAGCCATTCGGTGACGTAACTGCCTCTCTGTCCTGCCTATGTAGACGGTTGAGCATCCACACTTGAATTGGTAAATACAATTTGATTTGGCGGAGATAGGCAATGGTTCTTTCACCGATGTCGTTGGTATCCGGGTGGTCGTGAAGACAATGGCCGGGTCGACTGCGTAATGGACTCGCTTGACAGCGGAGTTCAACCGCTTGCTAACGAGTTTACTCACGTAATCACCTTTGTATGCTAACATCAAAAACGTTTCTTTTTCGGGACAGTTATTGAGTTGTCTGCTTTTGGTGTTACTTTACTATGCTTGGTGCTGAAGGCGCCTGGATATCCGTTTGCTTGTAGTGCTTCTTTCAGGACGCTGTCTTCGTCGCTTAAACAACCTTGTGTGTATATTTCACGAGCTCGATGAAACAGTGTGCGAACGAGCCCAATTTTGTATGTCATAGGGGCGAAGCTCGTGAAATGCAAGTATTGCCCAGACCACGCGTTCTTTCGGAGGACGGGTCGTTTAATTGATCCATCTGGACGACGAGTAATATTTGTCTAAAAAGTCGATGCGATCATTCCGTTCGTCGTGACGACTAAGCTGGATGTCGGGATGAATTGTGTTGAGCCGATGGAATAAGTTCTCTCGTCTTCCTTGACGTTGCTTATAACGAAGATATCATCTGTGGTGTTTGGTCTAGGCGTACGAATGACACGAGCGACTCTTGCTTAAGCCCCAACGACAACGCGGAGAGAGAACACAAGGTCTAGACCACAGTCAACGTGTATTCCTCGATAAGTTATCGATATGCAAAACATGGACTAATCGTGCATTCGAGAACGGCGCAGTGACGCACCAATCAGATTGTGTCCTTGACATGTCGATTGGACAAACATTGGATGATACGTTCTGTGACCATCCAATCAGGTTCAGCCTGTCTGGAGCGTTGGGAGCGTGCGTGTGGCCTGACTCGGAGGCGTGCGTGGGGCCTGACTCGGAGGCTTGCGCGATCGGACGGGTATCTTAGGCTCCGTCCTAACATCATCAACATAGCGACAGTATAGATCTAGTTTTGAACTATCTTCCTCAAGCCTTTCCTCTAGGTGACCAAGAAAAATGTCTGCAAGAATCGGTCCCAGTGGACTGATTGATTTGATTTCGCGGAGGTTGCTAAACTGAGGGTTCGCAGATCAACTTCTCGCATACGCTGCTAACGAGTACTCGCTAGAACAAAACTACCGTTCAGTACACAAACGAATTTCCATCGTATGCTTAATGCACTAATTATGCGAGGGAATAAATGATCTCCCACCCATTGGTCATTGTTTTCCGCTTGTTTACAAAAAATATACGGGCTGACAGATTAATCACCAAAGTCTCATTTGATTCTGCTTTCCACCCATTTGTTG